TTTTACATGAAACTGAACAGGTGATAGACATGACAAGCTACTTTTACATGAAACTGAACAGGTGATAGACATGACAAGCTACTTTTACATGAAACTGAACAGGTGATAGACATGACATGCTACTTTTACATGAAACTGAACAGGTGATAGACATGACAAGCTACTTTTACTTGAAACTGAACAGGAGATAGACATGACATGCTACTTTTACATGTCTCCAATTTTGAATCTGCAATATAGAAATTGAGAGGAAAGTGGGAAAAAACACAGCTGCATTAAAATGACTTTTATCACCAGCTTTATGCCTACTAGTTTCTAATGCTTTGCAAGCCTTTGGCATTTAAATCACATCCAGTTAGTTACCTCACTCGAAGCACGAGTTAGATACAATTTTAATAGCTTTTTACAACTAACAACTTTTTTTTGTTAATCTTTCTTAATATGAAGTTAGGTATGTACCACAAATACAAACAAAAACAATGTTAAAAAACAAAATACCTGGCACATTCAAAAAATAGTTCTTTGCTGGCTGTCTGTAGGTTTTCTTTGCATCTTTCAATCCGGTCTTCATTGACTACATCAACATATTCGCTGGACTAGAAAATAAAATTAATTAGAAAACTCTTCTTAACATGATCATTTTCTGTCTCCAACACGAAGGGTGGTTACTAATCGCTAACAATATCATTACTTTCAATTGAATATATGGAAAAATTACATTTTTAAAATAAACAATTATTACAGAAAATAACTAAAGAATTAATTATACTTGTCATAAGACGTTAATTAGTATTAGGCCTATTATATTTTTAAACACTACATTCTTAATCTAGTCCCTCAGGGATATAATAACAGTACTTCAAACATGCTATATTCACATATCCATTGGGGATGACACGTTTCACTCAATCCAGAGTTCTTCAGGTGAGCAACTACACAAACCATCTTGAATACCACTTACCTCAGTTGTGAGGTATTTGGAGAAGACATCTTGAACAACTACACAAACCATCTTGAATACCACTTACCTCGGTTGTGAGGTATTTGGAGAAGACATCTTGAACAACTACACAAACCATCTTGAATACCACTTACCTCGGTTGTGAGGTATGTCGAGAAGACATCTTGAACAACTACACAAACCATCTTGAATACCACTTACCTCGGTTGTGAGGTATTTCGAGAAGACATCTTGAACAACTACACAAACCATCTTGAATACCACTTACCTCAGTTGTGAGGTATTTCGAGAAGACATCTTGAGCAACTACACAAACCATCTTGAATACCACTTACCTCGGTTGTGAAGTATTTGATGAAGACATCTTGAACAACTACACAAACCATCTTGAATACCACTTACCTCGGTTGTGAGGTATGTCGAGAACACATCTTGAACAACTACACAAACCATCTTGAATACCACTTACCTCGGTTGTAAGGTATTTCAAGAAGACATCTTGAACAACTACACAAACCATCTTGAATACCACTTACCTCGGGTGTGAGGTATTTGGAAAAGACATCTTGAGCAACTTCTTGTCTATACTCATCCAGAGTCACTTCATAATTTGCCTAAAAACCACAGAAAACTTTTGAAGACCAACTGTTCATTGAATATAAACAACTATAATCTAAAGCAAGTATCTATTTCAGCAGTTTTGTAGAGAGCAATTGAAATGACTCGTATTACAAAACTGAAAAGTATTAATCAGAGAGAAATTCTGAAGAACACATATTCATTCAATATAAAAACTATTAACAACAAGACAAGAGTAAGTTTCAGCCGATGTTAGATATGATTTCTTTTCGTTTCAAAATATATTATACAAACTAGAGATTTTTATTATACACAGAATTATTTTTTAAACTTCAATAATACGTAATACTCTATCCAGCAAGACAAACTAACAATGCATGTTTAGTATCTGATGAACTTTACTTGCCTGACAGGGTTAGCTACTCGGAAAGAAAACCTTCAAATTGATTTTAAAACAGGGATTTCAAGCTAGTTTTTTTCATACAGTAACTTGACTAAGAAGAAATCCTCAATGGAGAAAGGACTGAAGAAATCACTAGCCAAGAACAGAAACACAAACAAAAGATGGAGAACTAAACCATTTTAAGAACTGTTCAAAAACAATCTACGTGTGTGTAAGTCAAAGTCCTACGACATTAATCTCTAGATAATGATTCTCTATATCAAGATTTGAATTTCTGTGTACAAACGATTAATTGACTCCGAGTCAAAGTCCTACAACATTTATCTCTAGGTGATGATTCTCTATAACAATATTTGAATTTCTGTGTACAAACGATTAACTGACTCCAGGTCAAAGTCCTACAACATTTATATCTAGGTGACGATTCTCTATAACAATAGTTGAATTTCTGTGTACAAACGATTAACTGACTCCGAGTCAAAGTCCTACAACATTTATCTCTAGGTGACGATTCTCTATATCTCTCTCTCTATATATATATATATATATTTGAACTTTTCCGTGCAGATGACTCATTGATTCTAAGTTATCAGTCTTACGACATGATTTTCTGTGTATAAAGATTATAATTTCTTTTGGCAGACACACAATTTAATTCTGTATCATCAGGAACCTAAGGCACGATTCTCCGTGTACAAAGGATCTATTTTGACTCCGTGTCATCGAGATCCTAGGACATATTTCTTTAAACGTAAAGATCTGAATTTCTGCATGTGGACATTCGTCTGACTCTGTGTTCTAAGACACATTTCTTACAGAAGTGTCACAAATTTTTAAACTAGTTTACAACTAACTACCTATAGAAAGAGTCTATTCCTGATATTAACATCTGTTCCTCAAACTAAGGCTATGTCATCACTTGGAAAAATTTTTTCTAAACATCTGTGGAAAATGACTATGGCCTTACTTGAAAGTTTACAAATGTATGTGGGTGTACTGTGCTAATGAACAAATTACTATACTTCATATTTAGGAGAGCTGGTGTCAACATTCCCATTCAAACCTTCGAGATGTTTTAAACTTTCTAATAACTTTGTTTTTCTTATCAAACTTATCGTACAAGCTAGCAGTAATTAGGTAGTTGGTTAGATTTAGAAGTATACTCATTAGTTATGTATTACAGGTCAAGAGACTATACATTACTTAGGTCATAAGATGTACCCGTGTATCCTCAAAATTAGCTGATTAAAGCAATAAGAAGAAAATTCCCAAGTACTAATGACAGATTAGACACATAATAACTACTCAACTTTTTCATATCTGCCCACATGCATTACATCATCAACCATTTCCTGATATTACCAATATCATACCATTAAGCGTTCCCTGTCATTAAAGGCACCAGCATCAACCATTATTGAGGGCACAGCAATCTATTAATCTCTAACCAGACTGATTTTGTTACAAGCAACCAACTCCTAAATTCTCATTGATGACCTATTCTGGTAAAGAAGCAAAAGTTTTGAAACTCAACAATAATGTTTTGTTAGATGCAAGCTCTTAACACAGTATCAAACTTGGAGGCACAATGACGTCTTGAAGGGAAAAAAAGAAACTGAAACCAAATCAACTATTAATAAGATTTTCTAAAAAGATAATCAAAAGAAAATCGACATTTTGTTTCTATATTTATATTGGCATTAGTTACCATA